CATCCTGGCCCCCCCTGCAAAAGTGGGGTGCGGAGGGGGGAGGGGTGAGAACCCACGGAGGGGAGGAACGAAACTCCGATGAAGTCAGAGCCCCTTACCCGCCGCCGCGGCCAGGCCCCCCAACATGGACTGTCTCTGTATAGTGACAACCAAGGTAAGCGTGATGGGGGGGTATAAATTGGGGGAGGGTATGAGTTTGTGGGGGGGGGTTAGCAGGCTTTATCTAGGACTCGAGGTCCTGGAGTGACAGCATCAGAAGTAAGATGTATTTGGGGGTCATAATTTAGTTTTGGGGTTCACATCTGAGCCAATGCTGGATTTGGCCACAGGTGCCCCCTGGAGTGATCCCTTTGTACCTGTAGAGAAATGGAAAATGTAGGGTATTCCATGGTTTGGGGGGCCTGGCGGGTTTGAGGGTTAACCAGTGCTGTTTGAGGGAGACATTTAAGGAGAAGCCTAGCTCACATGGGAGTCCTGCTGGTGTATGTGGGAAGGTGGGCTATGTGGGGGGGTGTCCTTTTCCCTCCCCAGGGAAAGCTGGCTCCAGGTCTCTTGTTCAATTTTGGGGGGCTCTTGGCATGGGATAAAGGTTATTGGTTGTGAGTGTCTGACTGGTCTGGGGGTGTCAGCTGGCAGGGAAGGGGTGGGCCTTCAGACTATAAGACAAGCATTTTGTGGTAGATACATTTGGGGGATGCTCTCCGAATTTGAGGGAACTGTTAATCTGGGGTTCAGTCATATGGAATGGAGGTAGCTGGGAGTTTTCAGAGGGCTGGGGCCTGGCATGGAATCACCTGAGAGAATGGTCCAGGTGAGGCTAGATCTGGGGTGCTCCCATGGGATGTAGAAGGTTGCAGCAGCCGAGGTTGCTAGCTCCTGAGGAGGATGAGAGATTTGGGGAGAGAGGATATTTGAGGAATGGGACCAGGTGGATGGTGCAAAATTTGGGGGTGGCCCAAAGGCAGGTGCCCAGTGTCCCCATCTCCTCCCACACTGCATCTAGCCTTGGGCAATAAAGAGGGAGAAGAGCAGGTGGAGGGGCCTGTTCCAGTTACTCCTGTCTGACACTTGGGATCAAGGTGGGGGATGACACCTGGATTTCTTGGTCGCTGAGAATTTATGACTGAGGTTACTGGGGTGAAATGGAGTAGGAGGAGGATAGGGCTGGCAGTGTTGGGGATCTGTGTAAGGGTGTCCCTGTGGTTGGAGCCTGGGAAAGGCAGGAGATCTTGGATGGGGAGTGCAAGCAAGCTCCTGGTGGGATGCAGTATACCTAGTCTTTGCTTGGAGACTCTGGGCCTGGAAAGCTGGATGCCTGGTGTGTGGAGAGAGGCTTGGGCGGGTGGCAGGCAGCTGGGGGCTGGGGGGTAGGACAGGAAGTGGGGGCCGGGAGAGGCGGGGTCCGGGTGAGTCACAGGCTGGGGAGGGGGTTATATTTAGTGGGAACTGCAGCTTCTCATGGGAGGGAGCTGAGGACACACATGTTCCCTGCCACAATCTCACACATGTGTGTACACATGCCTTGTGCACGTGTGAGCATGGTTGGAAGAGATTAGAGGCTAAGGTCTTTTAGGTCTGGAGCCCTCATCCCCTCTCCACCAGGGCTACTTTCTTGTTGTTCATTTGTTGGGCCTTGGGCTTTCTCCCAGGCTGCTTCTTCCTCACATCCCCTGAGTTTCAGTGGTATTTTGTGCCTCAGTTGCTATGGCCTGGTTCCCTTTAATGTCTCTCTGATCCTCTACTCCTCCTGTCTCTTACCCTTAGGCCTGCACCTTGGCCTTCAGCTCCCTGGCTGTGGTCCTCTGTGTACAGGTGTATATAGAAAACCTGCTAGAATGTGTGGGCTCTGCTTCCAACACGTGAACACACAAATGCCAGTGAGGGTGAGGGGCTTGCCTGCACTAGCAGGCTATTCTGGGAGGGTGGGTGGGCTTATTCATTACCCCGTCCAGACTCCTACTTCTTCGATGGAGCCCAGGGTTGCACATCCCTGGAGGAAGGACGCTTACACAGAGGATCATGCATTTGGAGCTTACAGAGGCGTGGAGACCCAGGCTTGCCACATTCCTTGGCCGGAAAACTTGTCGGCCTCGGGATGGCGGGGACTCCAACTCCCATAAGGCCTTGAGGCACAAGATCCCTGAATGTTAGAGGGTTACTGCCCATAGGACTGTTGGGAGTTGTGGTTCATGTCTATCCAGGGCAGCGGAGAGTAGCCCAAGAGGAGCCAGCAGGGGGCACATGGCACCTGCCCCCCAAAATGCTGGATGGGGCAGGGAGTGCTAAGGCTCAGCTCTTTCAGAGAGTCCTCCATCTTTCATTGCCTATATTTAGACTCTCTCCGCAGTAATTTAAGCAACATTGAGTGCCTACTATGTGTTGGGCCCTTTGCTTTGTGTAAATTCTGCTTTATAGCTATCACTTT